CTCCTCCTCTTCCTCCTCCTCCTCTTCCTCTTCCTTTCCACACTCCCTAAAAGTCAGTGGACACATAGAGGCCACCAGGAACACTGGGTGAATTCGCTTAACGGATACAGAACTGGTCGCACCCCTCGGTCAGTCACCGCCTGCAGCTCCTCCGGACACAGTGCATTTTTCTGGACCAGAGTCACTTGCAGTATCACCAGTGCGTTCAACAGCGTCCGGCCTTGTCCAGCAGCTCAGAGGCGGTGGAAGGTTCACTGAAGAGAACCCTGGAGCCACACCAGACACCAGGTTCCGTGGGAGAGGCCCAGTGGGTGCGGAGATCCATTTCAAGGCCTCTCAGCTGCCCCCTCACCTCTGTTCGGCCCAGTTCCCAGGCAGACGCCCCTGTGACACCCCCGGGGCGAGAGAGACAACGCCGCGCCTTGGGGGCCCTTCTCCCCAAAGGCAGCCACCACGTTTCCAAACCCAGAGGCGCGCTCTGCATGTATTTACGCTCCTCTGTGTCTGGCTTCTTTCTCTCCATCCAAGTGCCTCTGAGATTCATCCGCGTGGTCGCACAGGCCAGTCGTTCACTCCTTTCCATCCACGTGCAGAGGCCCCCGGGCGAGGAGACGGCGTGTCCATGCGGCTGTGGGGGGGCCTGGCGTGGCTCCCGGTTTTAGGAACGGATGGCGCCGGAGCCGCCTGGGGCGTCGTTGGGTGCCCACGTGCTTGGCGTTCTGTTGGGTGGGATTCCTGGAGGGCGTGGAGGGGCGGCGTGGTTAGTTGTAGTGGCTTCTGGCAGGTCCCGCCATTTCCACCAGGAGGTGGGCGTTTTCTCTCTTATTGTCAGTCCCTCCTTCCAGCTTCCAGCTCCTGGATGGTTTCCTGAACTCCCCTAAGCCTTGGGGGCCTAAGGAAACTTCCTCCCCGAGAAGTTTAGGCTCCTGCCTACAGTCATTTTTATGTGTTTTAAAGTTTTAAAATTTATTTTTGTTAATCTTCAGCCGAGAATATTTTTAGAGAGAGTGGAAGGGAGGGAAGAAGGGGGGGGGGAGAGAGGAACATCGATGTGAGAGTGATACATCAATTGGTTGCCACCCAAATGCACCCCAACCAGGGCCGGGGATCAAACCTGCAACCCAGGTACGTGCCCTTGACTGGGAATCAAACCCGAGACCCTTCGGGGCCCAGGCCGACACTGACCACTGAGCAGCACTGGCCAGGGCCCTAAGGTCACTTAAAAATAACTACAGTCTCAGCAGCCAGCAGGATGCTTTTAAAGTGCAGGTGAGAGAGATCAGTTCCTCCCCGGTCAGAGGTCGCCAGGGCTCTAAGGGTTAGAGAACCGGTAGCTACGCAAACAGCCCCGCCTTTGGATGTGCAAATGGGGGGGGGAGGGTCAGCTGACGTACACCCCCTTCTGGGGAAGGACCCAGCTGCTGGCTATTTGCAAACCCATCTCAGCTCTCCTCACCTGCAAATGCGTCTGTCCTGTGATCGCTCCTTTGAACTGGCTTCCCTCATTAATAATGAGTTGAATAAAATCTGTAAGACGGGTTCATTTTTTTTAAGTATTCTTTTTTTATTTTTTAATACATTTTTATTGATTTTAGAGAGGAAAGGAGAGGGATAGAGAGATAGAAACATCAGTGATAAGAATCATTGATCGGCTGCCTCCTGCATGCCCCCTACTGGGGATCGAGCCTGCAACCCTGGCCTGTGCCCTTGGCCGGAATTGAACCCGGGACCCTTCAGACGCTCTATCCACTGAGCCAAACCAGCTAGGGAAATATCGGTTCATTTTTTAAATCCATATGAGAGTCATAATGTTACTTTTAAAAAAGTCTTTTAACACTGACCTTCCCCGGCCCAGCCTTTCTGTACCCCATTGTGTGTTCACTTTCCTCAGGGCTGGGTCATCGTCTGCGGCTACTTTGTTCATTTAGTTCTTTACTTGGTTTTCGTGGGTCTTTCCCTCCTGTCCCGGTCGCTGTGCGGAGCAGGCACTTCAAAACATAATAGGCCGAGGGAAGGGAGGTAGATCGGCAGCCGCCCGTGCTGGGGTGACACCACCCCTTCCCTGGGCCTTCTCTCCTGCGGGCCGGCCGTCCGTCTTGTCTGTGTTCGCCCCGTGGCGTTCCCATGGTCCTCCCGGCAGGTCACACGAGGCCAGGCCAGCCCGCACTTGACGTTCCTGACAGGTGAATAAATCATGTTTTATGGCTTGCGTCAGGCTTGGGGCCCGGCAGACTGATAAGCAGCCGGTGAGGTTGGGTAACCTGGGAGGTGAGAGAGCCTCCTGCAGGAGCCGGCTCTGGCTCTCCGCCCCCCACAAGGACCTGGGGCTCCGGGAGGCCAAGAACTGTGCCAGGGTCAGAGGTCAGCCCTGGTTTCAACAGTAAAAACCAGCAGGAGCCTGTGGCGTGTGCCGGGCCTGCCAGGAGTCCGTGTCCGTGAACTTACCCTGACGGCAGCACGGCTTCCAGACGAGGAGGCCGAGGTCCGGGGAGGGAGCGACTCAGCTCCCACAGCAGAGAGGCCTGGAGCCGGGGCGTCAGCACCAAACGGAAGGCACTAGAGCAGCGGTTCTCAACCTGTGGGTCGCGACCCCTTTGGCGGTCGAACGACCCTTTCACAGGGGTCGCCTAAGACCATCCTGCATATCAGATATTTACATGACGATTCATCACAGTAGCAACATTACAGTGATGAAGTAGCAACGAAAATAATTTTATGGTTGGGTCACAACATGAGGAACTGCATTTAAAGGGCTGGAAGGTTGAGAACCACTGCGCTAGAGGAACCGCAAGGACTTGCTGGACATTTATCCCAAGGCCCTGAGCTGAGGGCTTTACATGCATCGTCTCATTTCCTCTCCTTTTTTTTTTTTTAAATATGTTTTTATTGATTTCAAAGAGAGAGAGGAAGGGAGAGGGAGCGAGAGATAGAAACATCAATGCTGAGAGAGAATCATGGATTGGCTGCCTCCTGCACGCCCCCTACTGGGGATTGAGCCTGCAACTCAGGCATGTGCCCTGACGGGGGAATCGAACCGGCGACCTCTCAAAGCACAGGATGATGTTCAACCAACTGAGCCACACTGGCCGGGCTCATTTCCTCTGCTTGACACCCGATGAGGGGGTGCTAGCACGTGCAGCAAGGCACAGGCGGTTCAAGACCACCCTTGCTTTTGACACCAATTTAAAGTTCAAGGGTTTCCAATAATTCACCAGACGGATACAGAGAACTCAGAAAAGCCATCCCACCCATGCTTACGGTGCGTTACAGTGAGGATGCTGATTCAATCGGCCGAGAGAAGCGGGGCACAGGGCCGGACCCAGGAGACGTCCCGTGCCGGCTGCCGGTTGTCCTCTCGCCGTGGAGTCGTGCCCATAGCGCTGACTTCTCCCAGCCATGCCGAGTGGCCATATACAGGCACACGCCGCCTAGCGCCGGGTGCGCTCTGAGAAACGGGCCATTCGGCGATTTTGCTGCTCTGCGAACGTCACAGAGTGCGTGCCACGCCCCCGGGAGCACAGCTTACCACACACCCAGGCTGTACGGCCAGCCCGCTGCTCCCAGGCTACAGGCCTGGACAGCACGTTCCTGTACAGAACAACACGAGATTAAATCAAGCACAAGAGAAGACGATGCCATCAAAGGCGCGGTAAACTCGAGATGCATGAGGCTGCAGGTGCCACACAACTTACTGTTTATAGCAAACTTTAAAAATAGATTTTATTGATTTCAGAGAGGAAGGGAGAGAGAGAGAGAGAAGCATCGATGGTGAGAGAGAATCATGGATCGGCTGCCTCCTGCACGCCCCCTACTGGGGATGAGCCCAAACCTGGGCATGTGCCCTGACCGGGAATCCAACCCGTGTGGGACCTCCTGGTTCATAGGTTGATGCTCAACCACTGAGCCACGTGGGGTCGGGCCAGGTCTTGTTGACTTTTTTCTTTTTAATCTTCACCTGAGGATATTTTTGTCTATTGATTTTCAGAGAGAGTGGGAGATAGAGGGAGAGACAGAGAGAAACACTGATGTGAGAGAGACACATCGATTGGTTGCTCCCGAATGCCCCCGACCAGGGCCGGGAGCTGCAACCCAGGTGCATGCCCTTGACCAGAATCGAACCCCGGGCCCTTCAGTCTGAAGGCCGACTGAGCCAAACCGGTTAGGGCCGGGCCCTGTTTACTTTCTAAGGTCTCGGTTGCCCTCCGGAGACTGGGCTAGAGGCAGGGCGAGCTGGTGGGGGTGTCACCAGGGGACTGCATATGCCTCCTGCCTCTGGCCTGGGCAGAGGTGTGCCCCCCACCCGGAGTCCTCAGCTGAGCCGCAGCGCTGCAGGGATGCTTGGCATGATCTTCTCCGCTTTTATGAGTCCAGGGACTTGTGGCCAAGTTTCTACCCCGGGGCCTGTTCATATCTTTTAAACCAGTGATGGCGAACCTACGACACACGTGTCAGAGGTGACACGCGAACTCATTTTTTGGTTGATTTTTCTTTGTTAAATGGCATTTAAATATATAAAATAAATATCCAAAATATAAGTCTTTGTTTTACTATGGTTGCAAATATCAAAAAATTTCTATACGTGACACGGCACCAGAGTTAAGTTAGGGTTTTTCAAAATGCCGACACGCCGAGCTCAAAAGGTTCGCTGTCACTGTTTTAAACCGCACGTGGCTGTCGTGTCTCTGCTGTGTAGACCCAGCCTGGAGCCCCATGTTCTCCGCAGACTCTCCCAGGCAGTGGGTGGCTGTGTCCACAGTGACGGGCTGAGGCCAGCCAGGGGTCAGGTGTCCCTCTTTTACCAGCAGGGGGACACGGCACTGGGCTCAGTATTGATCCCGGGTCACGTGTGTTCCAACGTTCATCCGGTTTCTCTGACACTCGAATTCGTTTGACCGAGCGAAGAGCTGGAAAATGATGGTGGGGGTGGTTAGGCCCCTGATGGCTCGGTTTCTTCTCAGAAGTATCTTCTTATTGACAGACGAGGCCGCGTGCTTCTCAGACTCTATGGCCCTGAGGGTCCCCAGGAGGCACGTGGAGGGTGTGAGGTAGTGTCTGAGCAGAATCCTGCCCTCGCAGGTACGGGCCAGTGGTTGGCTGGGTAGGGCCTCCTCCTAGGGAGAGACGGCCATATGTACACCTCACCCCAGGGCCTTTGCACTGCCTTTCCCCTGCCTGCAAAGCTCCTCCCCCATGTCTCACAGCTGATTCCTTCCCGTCACTCAGATCTCTGCTCAAAGGCTAGCTCTCCAAAAGCCTTCCTGACGCTCTGTCTAAAGCGGTCCCAACCCACCCCCAGTCACAATCTCATCCTATTCGCTTCTCAGCCTCCATCACTACTTAGCATGACCTACAAGTGTTCGCCTGCTTGCCATCTGCGCTCCCCCGCAGAGGGCAGCTCTGTGAGGGTGAGGCCCAGGAGTCTCTGGTTTATTGCTCTCTCTCCAGAACCAAGAACACTGCCTGGTACAAATGCAACAAGCATTTGTTGAATGAACGAACATGTTCTTGGATGTGGGGCCACAGGGGTGACTCTTACCATGTGAAGTGAGGGGCCACCTCATGCTTGGTGGGGGAATCGCACACCTAAAATAGCAAAAAACTAGGGGATAGTATCGCTGAAACCTCTCAGCAGGGGCTTGCAACAGAAAAAGCGGGAAGGGGTGGGTGCCGCCAGGTGATTACCTGGAACCTTCCGGAGGGGATGGGTTAGAGAGAGGAGCAAACTGCCTGCTTCCCTCCCTCTGGTCTCCATCCGGGGCAGCAGGACAGGCCCCTGGAATTCCTCTTCTCTTTTGCACAGAAAGGAACAGTGAGGAGAGGGGCTTTCCGACCTCTCTCCGAGGCCAGGAAAACCTCCCGGAGCCCCTGTTCCTTCCAGAAATCCACGGAGCGCCTTCGGGGACGGGTGGGGCCTACATCGGTCTGGGAGGGTCAGCTGACCGGTGGCCAGCCAACCTGTGACGCCTGGGGAGCAGCATTTTTTTTATATTAAAAAGCCACTTTTCTTGGAGAAATGCGGTGGATACATTAAGCTGTCGCCTGTTCTTTGGAGAGCCGTTATTAATGGAAAACAATAGATTAATAGTTTTAAAACGCGTGTTCAATAAGTAATTTTTATGGCTCTGGATAGAGCCCATTAAACATTTCTGTGTGTTATTATAAAGAAGTTTTAAGCGTAAAATCATAAAGTCAATAATCAGAGAATTAGTCACAGCGGTCAGCCACAGGCCATTAGTTTCAGGGGCTGTCAGGGACACCTGTGGCTGCGGGAGGTGGGGCCGGGGACACGCGCTGCCTGGCGCCTCCCAGACACTGGAGGGGACAGCAGGCAGGTGTGAGCCGCGGGACGCCAGGCAAATATTTACGAAGTGCAAACGTGAGTGCAAACCGAAAACGATCCAGGTCAATTTGCACATTGTGGGCTCAGACACTTTATTTCCCCAGCCGCCCTGGGCCAGGGGCGAGCCTCCAGCTCCTGCTAAAGATAGAGATGGAGGCCGCACGCTTTTAAAAGGAGAGCCGGTCGCCGGAGACGGCCCTCAGAAAGGCTTCCGGAGCCGTTTTCTGAAAAATGGCGCTTTCATCTCCCAGCAAATACACAACTGAGTCAAGCGTTTGCGAGCGAAAGGGTGGGCTTTTAAAAAACGACTTCTAAAAGCCATGACAACAGCGATACAACGAGTACAGAATAATATTGAATGTAAAGAGTAATTTAACGTTTAAAAAAATTTTTTAAAAGTAAAACAAGATAATTAGGGAAGCTTGAGAAAATCCAAAGAAGATAATAGAACTACCCATAATCTCTCTACCCAGAGATGTTCTGTTTCTGTTTCATTCCTTCAACAAATGTTTATTGCGAATGTTTTATGCCCGACACTGCTCTGGGCACTAGGGAGGCAGTGATGAACCAAACAGACACTCCTGGCCCCGTGGAGCTGGCATTGGGGGGTGGGCGTGGGGGGGGGAGCTACAGCAACAAATATAATAAGTAAAGTAGAAGGTGGGTTAGAAGGTGTAAGTGCTCTGTAAGCAGGGAGCAGATAAGAGGGTGGGCCTCGTGGAGATGATATTTGCATTAAGACTTGAAGGAGGTGGGGAGTGAGTGTCAGGTACCTAAGACAAGGGAGCTCCAGGCAGGGGGAGGGCAGTGCAAAGGCCCTGAGGCAGGACTGTGCCCAGCCTGCTTGATAAATAGCTGGGAGGCTGGTGGGGCTGGAGCAGAGGAAGGGAGGTGAGGAAATGGGAGAGGAGGTGAGGGGCCAAATCAGGACTTTGGCTTTTCCCAGGCGTGAAAAATGGAGAGGTTTGAGCAGAGGAGGAACATGATCTGCCCCAGGTTTGAAACCGATTCCACTGGCTGCTGCGTCCCCAACTGCTTGCATTTTTCTTGTCAAATGTGATTACTTCTGCACCCTGATTCCCGATGGTGACTTCATTTTTTAAGCCGGATACTCAGCCTGCTTGGTGCAGAAGGAGGTGGGTTTGGGAAATAGTTCCTACAGGGACACCTGACGTCTCTTGGTAAGCTCCCATTCAGGGAGGGTGAACGAACTAAGCCTGGGCACGGAGGCCGAGAAAGGCATCTGTGGAGATGGAGCGAGAGAGACAGAAGACAGAGGAGACCCAGGCTCTGTGCTCTAGAAGTTGCTGGGCATAGGTAGCTCTCAGAAGACCACTAGGTGTGTTAACCTAGCTCAGATGCTGCCTCCTCCAGGCAGTCTTCCTGATTGTTGATCACTCCTCCTCTGTGCATTGTACCTGCCTCTATCTTTGCAACTGCCACCCTGATTCCTAACACAGCCACCTCCTGCTGGATCTGGGAGTGTCTGTGTTGGGAGGGCACACCCCGTGTTTGCCTTAGGGTCTGGCACACAGTAGGTGCTTAGCAAGTGCTTCATGCCGCGAACACATGGTGCTGCCAGATTCACAGAGGCTGACCGACCTTGGAGCTGATGGAGCAGAAGCGTCAGGGCCCCTCCCTTGCACTCTGGCCCCTTATGTGCTCCCAAGACCATGTGACTGGAAAGTTAGCAGAAGTAAGGTTGTTGTTTGTTTTTGAAGATGCCCTTCCCTCAAACTGTAGGAGCTTCAGGCCCCACACAACCAGGGAGGGCTCAGGGAAGCAGGTTTCAGAGCTCGGGTTCGAGGGGTGCCCATCAGAGGGGGAGAGACGCTTCTTTGGGGACCAGGGGGCCAGGGCGCTGCCCTGATCCAGGCAGCAGCTGAAGGCCTGTGGGGTGGGGGCGGGGGGTTGTAGCTCCCTGGGCACTCTTGTTGCTTAAACTCACTGCCTGGCTCCTGAGAGGGTTCAGACCGCCCCAGGGAGCCTGGAATTTCCCCTTTCTCTTCTCTTCTTCTCCTCACCTCCATTTCCTCTTTCCTTCATTTCTTTTTTTTTTAAAGTATGTTTTTATTGATTTTAGGAGAGAGGAAGAGAGAGAGAGAGAGAGAGAGAGAGAGAGAGAGAGAGAGAGAGAGAGAAATATAGATGAGAGAGAGAAACACCCATCAGCTGACTCCTGCACACCCCCTCCTGGGATTGAGCCCGCTTCCCCGGGCATGTGCCCTGATGGGGAATCGAAACAGTGACCTCTTGGTTCATGGGTTGACGCTCAACCGCTGAGCCACGCCGCTGGGCTTCCCTCCACTTCTTTGTCCTCCCTCCCCTGACCAAGCCCAGAGTTTCTCCCGAGGGGCTGTGGTCATAGTGGGGGAAGAACTTTCAGGACCTATCCTGTCCCTTCTCCTTCTCTTCCTGTCTGCAGTCGCCTTCCGCTTTGACGCCTCCACAATCCCCATCCGCACTTGGGCTTCGTCATTTACCTACTCTGAGCCTCAACGGCCTCATCTGTAAAATGGGCATCAGAAAGCCCACCTTATGAGACATGTGAGGGTCAAAGGAGACAAGGTGTGGACACGTTTGTCACCCATCAAGGGACGTTCCGGCACCGGTCCTTGTTCTGTCCGACAAACGTCCCCCAGCCGGGAGGGCTTCCCTGGTGGGGCTGGACGGCCAGAGCCCGGAAGCCGGACCCAGGTTCTGAGTCCCTGCCGCTCCCTCCCTCCCGTCCGAGAGGATGGCCAGCTTCCCGTCAGCGATGCTAATCATATTGCTGTGCGGAGTCACTGACCTCTAACTGCGGCCCATTAACTGTGCTTTCCTCTTTCATTTGCACGTGGATTTGCCCCGCTTCCAGAAAGCAAATTACAGGCTGGGAATCAGAATATTTCAGAGACGGGTGCAGGGGTTGGAGCAGAGCGACCGCTACATAATGAAGTGCCCAGTGTTAAGGTCCAGGCCGGGCCAAGAGAGCGGCCACTGCCGACCCACGTCCACGCAGGTACGGACTCGGGGCCTGGGGTGGGGGGTGGGGCACCCCAGGTTGGCTTCTCTCCAGAAGCCATGGCTCCTGAGCCTCAAGGTGTGGCCGGGCCGAGCAGGGGCAGCTGGAGGTGCAGCCTGGCACCTCTCACCTGTGGGCCCTGCTGGGTGTCCAGTTCCATTGGGCTTTGGTCTGAGCAAGTTGGGGGAGGTGGGATGGGGTGGAGGGACATTAAAGGTTTGTGGACTAATGTTCTTGACGTCCCGTCGTAGCTGGCCCAGGGGACAGCAGGAGGACGGGACTGTCACCAAAGCTGCAAAGTTGTGTCCTTGTGTCCTTTCTCTCGATGCTTCTTGCCCTGGGTAACGGGAGAGGATTACAGACTTTAGGTCGTAAAAGGACCTCAGATGCAATCAGGTGAAGTGTCTCATTTCAAAAGGAAACAGGCTTCTCCCCAAATCCAGCAGTGAGCTCCTTCTTGTCTCTCAGATCCCAGATCCCTTCCCTGCCCTGGGGGGGCGGGGGTGGGGCGGGGGTCAGGGGAGCTCTGTGCGCTAAACAAGACTTGGGTAGGGGGCAGGTTACAAACCCAACTGCCTACAGGGACCAAACCCACAGCAGAAATGAGGGTGCCAGACTGAGGGGGCAGTCAAGAATTGTATTCATGTCTTCATTCAAACTTTATGCCACTCACCCCGTACTGGGCACTGTGGTGCCCGCTCTGTAAATGTCAGATATCAAAATGCAGTGGGTGCTATTATAATCCCTACTCAACGGATGACAGACTAAGCAGAGAGAGACTGGGAGACGTGTCCAAGGTCTCCCAGCTGGTAAGTGGCAGAGCCGGGCTGTGAGCTTCCCCCAGCCTCATCTGGCCAGAGCTTCAAACTTTTCAAGAGAAATTAGAGCCCAACCGGTGTGGCTCCGTGGTTGAGCTTCGACCTATGAGCCAGGAGGTCACGGTTCCATTCCCAGTCAGGGCACATGCCCAGGTTGCGAGCTCGATCCCCAGGGTGGGGCGTGCAGGAGGCAGCCGATCAATGATTCTGTCTCATCATTGGTGTTTCTATCTATCTCTCCTTCTCCCTTCCTCCCTGAAATCAATAAAAAAATTTTTTAAAAAGAGAAATTAGAAATCCATAATTGTATGTAAAAAATCTCCTAATTTTAAAAAGTTGACTTTAGTTTTGTAGACATTATGTGGCTCAAAGAAGATACTGAATTTGACCTGGGCAACCCCTGCTTGGTACAAAGGAGATGGACCAAGAAGAGAAAGAGGAGAGAGGGGGGAGGGGGAGACGAGAAAAGGAGAAATCAAAGGAGCCTGGAGCGAAAAGCCTGCCTATGGCAATCACTACTCATGCAACAAGCATTTATTAAACACCTACTGTATGCCAGGTGCTGTGCTAGCAAGGGAACAGGTGTGAGGAAGACACAGGAGGCGCTCACAGTTGCACTCCCGCCTGGCCTGGATTTTAAAGCAAGGGCGCCTTGGCAGGAGGAGTTCTTGGGCCGAGGGGCGACCCTCTGCGGCCCCATCGTTTCCCAGCCTTAAGGAGCAGGCACGGAGCCGGCGGGCATTTCTCCACCCACTGGCCTTTTCAGTGGCGCAATGACCGCGCCACGCCTGGTGTGGGTCCTTCTAAGAATCGCAGGGCCTCCTCCCCCGAGTCCCAGGCTTGCCGCCAGGTTCTGGGACCTGCAGGGGCTGTCACTTTGCCTTCGCCCTCGGCCTGGGCCTGTCATTCTGGGAGCTGCCGCCAGGGGGCCAGGGTTGCCGGTGTCCTGCGACCCCGGACCGAGTTGCTGAGAAAAGCGGATCCGCTCGGGGCTCTGGCGCCTGCTTTGTCTCCAGCGACCTGCCGCGGAGGCTTGGCGCCCAGCACCCTTCATCAGGGGAGGCGTGGGAGCCTGCGGCCCCCCCCCCCCCGCGCCCCAGGACACCGACGCAGCGAGGTGCGCAGCCTGCAGGCGACAGAACAGAGGTCCCCGCTGCCCCAGCCCCCTCCCCGCCCGCCACACACGGCCCCCACCTGAGGACCTCATCGAACTGACTGATTCATTCCCGGCGACTTCTGCAGCCGCTGCTGCTTCCGTATCTGCACCTTGAACTTGCATTAAGTTTTAATTAAAGCCGTTTCACTGGCCTTGCCCTTGGCTAAATGCAGCCGCGGGCACAGGGCACATAGATATTTAATCGTCTGCCTCTCCCCGCTGAAGGCACAGGGTGCCCCAGGGTGTACCCGAGCCGTGCCCGCTCACGGCGATCCGCACGCTCGCTTAAGTGTGCCCACAGGCCCTGAGCGGGAGGCGGTGCAATAACTATTCATTGCCCTGGGTTAAGTGTGCCCAGGGGCACCCGTAAACTCAATGCAGTGATTAGCAATTGCTCCCTGTGAAGGCTGCCCGGGGTCCTGCTCAATGTCCTGGCCCTAAATATAGCCTCCGCGTGGGGCCTTAAAGGGCACCGCGTTTTTGCTGCGCTTGGTGGTGTCTTCCTTCCCTTCTTTAAGCAGAATTGCTTCTCTCCCGCCGAAAGCCCGGCCGCCAGGGCTCGCCTGCCTTCCCCCAGGCTGCAGCGGGCAGACGGGGTGTGGGGCAGAGGGACGGCTTCGGCGTGGCCAGGGGAAATGCCCAGTCCTCCTGGTCTTCTCACCAAACCGTGGACATCCCCCTCTCCTTCCTCTTCGCTCCCCGAGGCCCCATGGCATCCGCACCTCGCCAGCTGCGCCCGGACCCCAGCTGCCCCGTGTTCGGCGAGGGCAGCAGCTGAGGCAACCACATTTCCCTGGGTCTGTTGACACTCGAGTCCCAGAACATAAATGATTTTCTTGTCTTAATGAGCAAACAACCCTGCTGCTGGCTCTCCCGCGGCCTCCTGCTGGGGTAATTGCCGCTTAGTGCTCTGGCAGCGATGTTTACTCACTCACCTTGCCTACCGCTTGCCTTACTTACCCAAGCGGGGGGGTTCCTCTTTGTTCTGCGGTCCGGCCCTGGCCCCTGGCCGCCCCAGGAAAGCGCCCGTGGACAGGGAGGGCAGGAACTACTTTCTGGAGAATTCCACCGGCAGGTGCTTGGGGACGTGCGCGGGCAGGACTGCTGGAATCCTGTGAGTGTGGTGGACAGTGCCAACTCTCTCAGGCCCTTGTCTTGGCAGCCCAAGCTGGAAGCTTCCCCTAGTGCCCTCGAGGCAGAGGCCTGGGGCCCTCTGAGGGGCCCCTGAGCCCTTACAGTGACGGGGAGCTCACTCCTTCGCAAGGCCACCTGTTCCTGCCCGGCTCTTTCCCCAAACTCTTCTGCGGGTTTCCTGCAGCCTCCTCGAAGGAGGTGTCCTCTCTCCGTTTCAATTTTCTTTCCTTTTCTTTTCTTTTCTTTCTCACTCGAGGATATTTTTTTTCCATTGATTTTAGAGAGAGTGGAAGAGAGAGGGAAAGACAGAGAGAAACATCGATGTGAGAGAAACATCAATTGGTTGCCTCCTGCACACGCCCTGACCAGGGCCCTGGCTGGGAGGAGCCTGCAACTGAGGTACATGCCCTTGACCAGAATCAAACCTGGGACTCTTCAGTCCGCAGGCCGATGCTCTATCACTGAGCCAAACTGGCTAGGGCCACATTTCTTTAAAAATTAAAAAAAAAAAATTGATTTCAGAGAAGAAGGGAGAGGGAAAGAGAGAGATAGAAACATCAATGATGAGAGACTCACTGATCGGCTGCCTCCTGCATGTCCCCTATTGGGGATTGAGCCTGAAACCCGGGCATGTGCCCTGGCCAGGAATTGAACCGTGACTTCCTGGTTCATAGGTCATCGCTCAACCACTGAGCCACGCCGGCCGGGCCATTTCACATCCCCCTGAATATTTGAGGGATAAGTCAGCTTTGCCTTCCTTAAGTCTCCTCCTGAACTCCTCCTGCTCGTCCTCCTAGGATGGGGTCTGGGCACCTCGTCCTGGCCCCCTCCCAGCATCCAGGCACCCACCTTATTCAAGGCCCCAGATGCCAATGTCCCATCCAAGCGTGGCCAATGGAACTGAGGCCAGGACTCCCGGTGCGCCTGGCCTGGGTGGCACTGGCAGTCTGGGTGGCTCTGCTGGTGGGTGACAGTGCGTTCATTCCTTCAGCCATAGAGCGTGTCTGCTGTGTACCAGCCCTCCTGCAGGGGGTCTGCTCGTCCAACCCTGGGGAGCACGTGTCCAGTCTGCCTTCCTCCCTGAGCGGCCGGCTGTCCTGCCTCCTTGTCCTGCCATCCTCCCCTTGGCCCTGTCACCCTCCTGAGTGTCCCCTCAGGTGTGCCCTCTCCTTGACCCCCTGGTGACTGTATCTCCTTGGCCAGACTGTCTGAGGGGAGCTGGTGGCTTCTCGGGGAGATGCCAGCCTGATGGGATTGAGCATGGGCACCACCACCACCAGGGCCACTGTCAGAAGCAAGACCTTCAGCGGCAGGAGGTCAGTGTGGGCACCAGCCCTGCCGGGGACCCTCGGGGGGGGCTCGAGGCATAGGCCTTCGGAACTGCTGTTGGGAGCAGCTCCGCGCAGTTTGCCGCCCCTGCGGTGCTGATTCAAATGTCCACCTGCGAGACCGGACAGATTTAGGCAGGCGGCTTCGAAAATTGGGCCCCATTAGCGTCAAGTGCTCCCGCACGGCAGACGAGGGGCTCCTGCAATCACGCACTCGCGTCCTGATCATGGTGGCAGGAGATAATTGCGTCTCTTTAAATAGCCCAAAGTTGCCGTGTAAGAGAAGACGGCTCACATGACATTTGCTCCCAGCTCGCTTCCTGCTAAAAATATCCCGGCGAAATAATATTTCCTGGCTGCGTCGGAGCGGCAGCCCCCGCCTGGCCTGGGCTCCCTGACACTTGGCGTCTGGTCCAGGGGCTGGTCCGGAGGTGGGAGGGGGACATCTCCCCGGAGCGGCTGCCGCTCGGCCTGGGCAGCAGTGACAAGTGGCACCGCTTGCCCACCGGTCCGACCCAGGAGCGCCCCTAATGCCCACCCTTCCCAGCTTCATTGCTCTCGGGTCCTCTCTGTGTTCCTCCCTCTCCTGGGCACCTGACCCCCATGGGCCCACCCACCCACCCACCCCCCCGTCCTTAACCCCAATCTTGGCTGCGCATTTCTGAATTGCTTGGGACAAAGAGACCTTGGCTCTCCCTGGGGGGCATGCATGTTTGGGGGGTGGGTGGGGTGTGCAGAGTGGATCATCTACTGGACGCCCCCACCCTGGGGTCTTCGGACTCCTGGGAGGTTCCGAGATGGGCAGGGGTCTAAGAACAAAGATGGGAGGAGTCTGCATCCCTCTCAGGTTATCAGGGCTGTGAGCTGACAGCGGGTGAGACCCCCTGACCTAGACCCTGGATGTGTTAACTATTTCGTTCAGCTCGGGGTGCAGTACCGAGAAAGGCCTGGGATCCGAGAGACCACTGCCTGCCTCCAGGGACTTTGAATGCCAAGGAGCTCCGTATGCTACGTTCCGTGGATCAGAGGCTTCACCCCGTGTGGGTAGATCAGAGATGACTAAGGCTCTACATTGTATAGAATTGTATCATGGACCACATTTCAGGATGGGGGTTCTGGTGCGTTTAGGGCATTGGAGATGGTCTTTTTTTAAAATGTATTTTTATTAATTTCAGAGGGGAAGGGAGTGGGAGAGCGAGATGGAACCACCAATGATGAGGGATAATCATTGATCGGCTGCCTCCTGCACGCCGCCCACCCCCTCCCCCCCACCTTGCTGGGGATCGAGCCGGCAACCCAGGCATATGTCCTTGACCGGAATCGAACCCGGGACCCTTCAGTCCACAGGCTGAGGCTCTATCCACTGAGCCAAACCAGCTAGGGCTGGAGATGGTCTTGCTGAGCCCCCAAACATCCTTTCCCTTATTCATGATGCTTGAAATCCCTTTATGTGGAGACAGATGCGTTCATTCAGCAACTGCAGAGCTGCCTTCAATGCAGCACCCCCTCCCTCCCCCGTGAGAGGGCTGACACAGTGAAATTCTCGCTCAAGTGTAAACAACTGCTATGAGCCCTATCCCCTGAAAGCAGCTGTTGGTCATGGAAGGGCCGGGTCACCAGAGCCGAAGGCAGTCTTGGCAGACATTCCTCCAGCGTCTCAGGGCAGCCCTGCTCCGGGCACCTGCCTCCTCAGGGGCCTTCGCACGTGGCAGGGTCCCCTGGGGGGTTGGGGTGGCCTTTCTCTCCTCTTCGTTCCTGCAGCCAAATTCCCGTGCGGAGGCCACACACCAAGTAACCTCGTGTCACCCATTCGGGAAGCGTGCTGCGCTGGCCATGGGCGTGGCCCCTGGCAAGGCCCTGCCCCCAGCCTTTCGTCCACGCACCTGCCCAGTGTGTACTTCTGTGTGTCACCTGTCCTCTCCCCTCCCGTGTCGTCCCAGCCGGATCCAGAGGTCTCGGCTCAGAACCCCAAGCAGAGACAAATGAGTTTCTGGTCCAAAGAGGCTCCTGCGATCAGGGGTGCCCGAGCCTGAGACCCTCCCGGCTACCAGCCCGGAGCCTTCCCGGTGACGGAGAGCGGGAACTGTGAGGCGGTCAGCATCCGGTGGCTGGGCGCTCCGGGCCCAGGTCAGTGTCCTGATTTCAGCATCGGCTGTACTGCCCCTTCCGGAGGCCCCTCCCTCTCGGGCCATTGACACCACGGGGAGGAGGAGACGAGGAGAGCAGCTCTGTGGGGCCGGCTGAAATAGGACCTTTGCTACGTATGCCCCTGAGGCCTGGCACTCTTGCCAGGTGGACCCCGTGGGAGGACAGCCACAGGGCACAGGATGCATCCTGCCACGTGCAGCTCATTCTTTGTTGCCCCGCCAGGCGGTCAAGGGAGCCTCAGGGAAGCTGGCCAGAGGGTAGCCCCGAGCCTGGGATGGGCTGAGATGGCCGCCCCATCCTCTGGTCGGCAGAGAGCTCCCCCCCCCCCCAGCCTTCTTTCCCTAGCCCCGTGGCCCTTTCTCTTGTGCCAGGGCTTCCCTTCCTGGGCCCGACAAGGTGCCACACCAGCCGGGGAAGCACTGGGTCAGGCACAGTGACTGGAGGGGGCCTGAGATCTAAGTGGAGGCAGCAGCATTTGTTTGAGATAAAAAGGAAAAAAGCATTGCAGTCGGAGCCTAGACGCAGAAGCCAAGTGATGTCCCGGTGACAGGTGGAGGCCGGGGCTTTTATGAGGCAGGGGAGTGATCACAGGGGAGAGGAAGGCATTGCTCTCGGGGCGGATCCACTAAGCTCTCCAGCCCCCCCTGCTGCTGCTGCATCTACAGGACTGTCCTCCACGGCCAGTCCTCGTGGCCGGGTCTCCCGCCCTGTGCGCTTTACACACAGCTGTTTGGAGACGGTGTTGGCTTGGCCCAGCCGACAGGTCATTTTGCATCTAATATTCCAAAGGGTCAAGGAGCCGAGCGAGGCCTTCCCCTGGGTGGGCGGCCCCGACTCCCTTTGGAGCCGGTTCCTTTATGTGATTTTTCTCAGTGGTGACTTTGCT